GAATATATAGAGCCAAAGTATGGATGCAGCCAGCCACAAACAAAAACATAAAACGAGAAAAGACGAAGAAGCAGCTGTTGCATGCAGCAGCAACAGAGACACTCAGTGGTACATTAGCATGCAAGCATGTAAAGGAGCTGGAGTTGCTGCTGCTGCTGCTGCTGCTGCTGCTGCTGCTGCTGCTGCAGCTGCTGCTGCAACTCGCAGGGTAACAGCGTGGCGGCTGCATATAGAGCGGTTGAGCTCAATATAAATATAAAAAAAGGAAAGGAGCAAATAAAAAAAAATATTAAAAAGAGAATATGTATTTATATATTATAAATATATAAATTAATATAATTTATATAAAATATAATATAATATAATTTATAATATATAAAAACTCACCTTATAGAACTGCTGCTTCCGCTGCAGCAGAGATGAAGTCTTAGCAGCTAGCGATGGGCGCCCAGCAACGTGGGGGGCCCCCTGCAGTGCGTGGGCCCCCTGGGTTTGCTGCAGCAGCTCGAGCTGCTGCTGCGTGCCCTGATGAGCAGCAAAAGGTCGCAGAGCAGCAGCAGATGCTGCTGCTGCTGCTGCTGCTGTTGCTGCTGCTGCTGCTGCTGCATCTCCTAGCTCCACAGCCTGCTGCGAAGGAGAGGCAGCGTTCGACTCCCCTGGCGCTGATGACCTCTCCTGCCATTGCTGCTGTCGGTCATCTTGTAGCTGCTGCTGCTGCTGCTGCTGCTGCTGNGCTGCTGCTGCTGCTGCTGCTGCTGCTGTTGCTGCTGCTGCTGCTGCTGCTGCTGTTCATGAGCGCTGTCCTGCGTAAGAGGGCTATCAACCGGCTGAGGCGGGTGCGTCCCCTTGGGGGAGCGACGAGAGGTCATTGACACGATGCTGCTGGTGCTACTGATGCTGCTGCTGATGCTGCTGCTGACGCTGCTGCTGATGCTGCTGCTGATGCTGCTGCTGCTGCTAATGCTGCTGCTCCCGCTCATACAATTCGAGCTTGTAGTGGGTGCTGCTGTCATTGGAAAGATAGCTGCAGCTGCCGTCATTGCCACAGCTGCAACAGCAGTGCAGGGTGCTGCTGGGGTGTCTGTACACCTCACAGATCCCCCGAGCACCCCCGCCAAATCAAATAAGCAGCCTTGAGGCCTATTATCCTTTACACAGGAACAACAAATGACGGCCTCTATAGAACGAGGGGCTATAGGGTGGTGCTGCGTGGGCTTGTATTGCGCTGCTGCACCAGGGAGGGATGGAGCTGCGGCTAGAGATATAGGGTGAGGGAGGAGGTAAGGGCTAGATAAAGACGTAATAAATTGCCTTATTTCAGGTCCTTCGGCTTAAAAAAAACCCAAGAAACTGATACAAATAGTTAAAATGTTGTATACTGAGAGCGGGGAGAAGAGGGGGAAAAAGAAGAGGCAGAAAGCTGCTGCTGCTGCTGCTGCTGCTGCTAAGCGCAAACGATACAGAGATAGCAGCAGCTGTATGAATCGCACGTTAAAAATATCACAAATATAAAGCACAAGTTTATTTATTTTATGCAAGAAAACTGCACGCAATAACATTCAAAAAACCCGCTATAGGCCAACTAATACAAGAAGCTGTTGTGGGGCTGCTGCTAAGCGCTAGGAGGCTGCTAGCTGTGGCCCCTGTGCTTCCTCGACTGATGAAGGTGAGGCGGAAATTAAAAAGGGCAAATATATTTAAGCCCACAAAAAATTGAAAGCCACAAAAAAAAGAACAAAAACAAACACAATACCTCCAGCACAGCAACACCACAGCTCTGCTGAGCCCCGCAGAGCGGAGGGGGGCCCCAGATTCGACCACCAGGGAGAAGAAACACACTCTGTACAACCCACGAGTTTGTTTCATTCTTTTTCATTCAAATATATGATAGAAATAAAAACAAATCAATTAGAAATAATTCTTNGAGTTTGTTTCATTCTTTTTCATTCAAATATATGATAGAAATAAAAACAAATCAATTAGAAATAATTCTTAAAAGCACAAAATACCCACAAACTTTGCACGCATTCCCCTTGAGCCACACATATATATACTGTGTACACCGGGGGGTTGATGGGAACCTCCTGCCTTGTCGCTTTGTGTGTTTTTGCTTCTGATTTTATTATGAGTTTAAATATATATATTACACTCAAAATATATATCTTAATATCTATTTAACTTAATAGATAAGAATACAGCATTTCTCTCGGCCAACTAACCCCTGCGACGCTGCAGTGCTTGCTTGTAGGGTGGTCTATCTATAGATGATACATAAATTTTTATCTACACTCATATTGGCTGCTGCGGGTCGAGCGAGTGTGTAGCAATTGTTTACGCTGCCAGTGCATGCGCCAGAACGGGCTCTTATATGCTCCCAGGTGGAGTGGTCCTGCAGCAGGAGTTGAGCGTTGTACTCGTTCGGCGGCACATCATATCCGCGCGAGCGCCAGCCCTGGGCCATTGAGCAGATATCCACAGAATCATGGATACTGGAAAGGAGGTTAAGGTTATTTTGACAGTATTGTATCCCCAGACTGTAGTCAGCTAGACTCGCTAACTTTCTTTACACTTCATAGCACCGCACTGGAGGTCGGGACAGGCACGAGCAACGAGCCGAACCCCCATAAGCATGTATACTGGTGAATAGCGCTGAGTTGTTGTGAAGATTGTTTGCCTGGAAAAAGGTAAACATATCAGGTATTCCAGCAAAAATCATTTGTCAGAAGTTTTGCCTTTTATCCAATTGAAAAGTGGAGATTGATCAGGATCTGCAAGAAGCAGAATCCTTAGACAGTGTACATGACACCTTTGTCAAAATGCGGCCCTTTTTCTCTTTCAGCATAGTGAAGACTAGTAAAGTCTGTGTTCGTAGCGGGGGTCCCCCAGGCCTGTGCGTCTAGTCGAACTGGAACGAGCGCAGCCTCCACAGCCTACCCAGCCCCACGAAAGCTATTTATGAGGAATACCTAAACTTTCGCCAGCCGTCAAAATTTGGGGCGAAACAGCGTGCGAGGGACACTGGTAGAAGCCCTGCTTTCTACGGAGATATGGTCTTGTCTTCGGATGCACTGGAAGAGCGACCGTCGCTATTAGCAACTTCTTTATTGGGACGGAATGCACGGAAGTAGCAGTTTTGTCTCGGAAAGCGCCATTTTCTCTTGGAGGCATCAATGACGTAGAAACTTCTCAGTCTGCAAAGCAACGTAGATTTACCTTCAGGTAGGCAAGGGCACAGGCTGTGACAGAATTAAGACAGCTTAAGCGTGGGAAGATCTCTATACAGCACGCGGAGATGTATCAGTCACTCGCGAATGGAGGTCCAAGTACGAATTGGCTCTTCTGTAAGATTTGTTGACACCAGAGCTGGCCTCAGGAAGGAGGAAGTCCAATACCAGCTGGGCTCCTGAGGGGGATCTTAGAGACAAAAGGGTCAAACCAGCCGAGAGGAAGGGATACCTACGCATCAAGAAGGGGATAACGTGTCCTCGTACCCGATATCTGAGAAGGGAAAGGAATACTTCGGAAGTTACCCCGATACAGTGGCTGTGGATATTGGAGCTGTTGGTGCCACGTTACATCCGCTCCAAGAAAAATATAAAAAATAGAACAGAAGGTACCGTTGAGGAACTAGAGGAAAAGCACTTGAAGCAATCGGCGGGGATGCCAACGAACCGATAAAAGAGACGCCCTGGGCGCAGCGTGAGGCGCAGTGATTGGGCCAACAGAGGTGATTGCCATACAGGAACGTCAGGTCTTGTATTATGGTCAACGTTGGACCAGTTCACCATATCAGAACGCTGGGTATGCCTGGTGTGACTCAGTTGAGGGAGCGCCTGTTGCCTACAAACGACAATATTGGGCTTTAGCCGGTCAGCAACAATGTGACAATGCTCTTCCAAGCGCTCCTAACACTGCCTGCATCATCTACAGTTAAAGGAGTGGAATCAGCGTCCCAAGAAGCAAGGAACGAGTGGGTTCCAAAGCTGTGCAGGGGCACTGCCGTAAACGTTGACGAGTGCATGCACTCAATCGTGGTGGCCTTACGAAGTTGACAGTATGGGGGGATTCGATCCAGCTAACACTCGAAGGACAGCGAAATTTGCCTCAGTTGAGGGGAGAACTATCAGATGGACTCAATGAGAGGGAGACTCCAGCAGAGCTGCCGCCCCTTGACTTTGCAATCCAACGCATCCAACTTACTCCCGGAACATCCCAAGCTCTTCTCGGAGGTAGAGGAGGCATCCGACTTTTTTAGAGGAGCTCGAGAGACAAGAAGACCAAATGGGGAGAAAGGGAGGGCTCAGCCGTCAACTGCGCCTTTACGATAGAAGCATGTGGTGCCGAAGGAAAAGGTGTGGACGTGGCGTATCTGTATCGATGTCAACGCCCTCAACAGAATCACATTGAAATAGGAGTTTCCGATGCCCCACTGAGACGGACTACCCGAAGAGTCGCAGATTTTGACAGTTTATTTATTTTTTGGCTTCGCTGGTGCGTTTCTTTGCCGACTTAAGTGGATCCCTCCGACAGGCGCAAGACTGCATTCCGCACCCGCACTACAGAGTGGAGTGAATGGAGTGAACCTCTGAGAGTTGGATCTATTTTGGCGGAATATTTGAAGCTAGCTGCAGCTGAGAAGTTGTTCCAACGAAGGCACATTATCCATAGCATGCGTCTTTGCGCAGCATTGAGATGCCTTGAAGCGTATCGTTCATCTGGAATATGGTATAGGGCACAAGTACGTAGTAACAGTCGGACGTAAAGTGAAAACGTGTGCTCTGCCCCGTCAGCCTGCTTTGAACAGCTTCTATTTCAGCATTTAGCAGGTTGATCTGCTCAAGACAAAGCGTAACCTATTGGGATAAGCGTGGAGGAATCAACGTCGAGCCGTCCGGAAGTCGTACGGAGGTCGAAGACTTCTCGCGCCATCGACTTACATCTTTTTCGTCGTTCTTCAGAGAGAGACACCTCGAAACTACTCACGGTTTGTGCATCGCAGCTAAGAAATCTACCCAAACCAATTCTGCTGCCCGCAAGCTAGTCTCTACTCAAAACTGGCACCGTCGGTAGTGCTGGTGAAGCACAAAGAAGAAAGGAGAATTATTCTTACAGTTTCTCCAAGTCACGTCAGTGGGGGGCGAAAATTCGCTCCAGGTGCCACACATGGCAGTTTTCGCGTGCTGCATCTCAGGGTGTGCTTGCAGCTATCCCTGTTTTTCGGGACAGTAAGCATCCCCAGATGCGAGATTGCGTTTAGCATAATAATGCATTTGGGGGGAAAGGCTGGCAACTGCTTAGGAGGTTGAATAGTGGAGCTATAGTCCCTCCTCCCCCCCAGCAACGTCCTTAGCCTGAGCGCCATCTAGAAGGAGGTGCTCAATTCTGGTTCCTGAGCAGGTTCGACCTTCCNAACGTCCTTAGCCTGAGCGCCATCTAGAAGGAGGTGCTCAATTCTGGTTCCTGAGCAGGTTCGACCTTCCGCGGCGCTGCAGCCTACTTCCCATCATTTTGCCGGAACACGGGAGATCTCTGCTTCCTTCGTCTTTTGCGGGTCTGCGGTGGCATCGAAAACATCCGAGGGCTTGATCATAACCGCGCTAAGGCTGAGGCATATCTGTCCAACTTGGTCTGAAAGGGTTGCTGTCATTGCGAATGCTTTTACAGCAACAAATCCGCTTCGCATGTCTGCAATGAAAGGCGTGTAGGCGCAGGTGATGACAGATGATGGAACAGCCGCAGAAAGGACGTCGAAAAGAATGCAACTGCAAAAGGCAAGGGAAGCTGCCGCTGCCAACACAGCCGATATGCTCTTGGCGTTCGTCAGGAAAAGGCGATGAAAGGCTGAAGCCAAAATGCAGCCGGTAAAAGCTGCGGCGAGTCCTAGAAAGATGGAGTGGCAACGAAGCAGAAGTCCGGAAAGAGCTGTAGCCTGTTCCCCCACCAGTGGCATCAGTCCCGTAAATGGTTGCATGCATTCAGAAACCCAAAACGACTGGTGCAGCAACACNCGAGTGGTTCCAGGCTTCTCCCTCCTCTGTGTGCGGCGCATTGTCTTAAAGGCGAACCAAAGGCCCACCAGACGCAAGCCGTCAGCAACCAATGGAAATAGTAACTGGCACAGCGGGGAGAAAGGTAATGAGAGATCATGCCCAGACGCAATGCGCGGGGGGTATCCATGAATGCCGGCCTTCGCACCTTCTGGAGATTGTCCAAAGAATGGTGGTTCCTGAAGTGGTTCATGTGTTGCGTTCCGTGGGAGATGCAACAGAGGCCAAAGTGAGGTATATGCTTTGACCAAGTCCCACAGTACAAACCCTAACAATGTTTTAAAGGTATTGGAAGACAACTTCGTTCGTAACTCTTGAAAGGCTTCGGAATCATCAGAGCTTTTCTCCGTCTGACGCTTGATGGGATCTTGGACGGATAAACTGAAAGAACCTGCATCGTAGGCTTTCCGTTTCGAGGGGCAAACTGTCGCCGCAGAGAACATACAGGTTAGGCAAATACCTGGGAGCCCCGAAAGCAGAATAGAAAGTGGGCCCACGCCTTGAAGAAGAGAGAAATGTGCCAAACCAAGCCGTTCAATCAACACTAGCAAGTAGCCAAGAGTCGCTCCCACTGAGAGGATGGCACAGAGCATCTGTCGCTTCTCAAATGACACAGGCTTTTCTCCAACTTCGCGAGGCACGCATGCTGGTTGGCTTTGATTGTCAATTTTTTCCTCGACCTTCAAGAGGGCGGCAGAATTTTCGGGCACTTCAGCATGAGTCACAGGAGCACTTGCTTGAGGCTCATGAACTGAAGGTAGTTTGGGCTTTCGTCCTCCATGATAGTTCCATGTAGCGGCCAGCTCAGAGGCGTAGGGGTCATTGCTTATCTGGCTGCTATTGGCAGAAGAATCCGAGAAGGAAAAGGCAATCTCGCGAGCGAGCTTCCTATAATTAGGGGCAGGACCAGCTCGGGGAGGTTCCTTGGGGTGTTTTGATAAGATTAAACTGGTGTCGCTTGGAGGAGACACGGGCTGATCGCCGTAGTTTCTCGTCGATTTGTCTGTGTAGGCGCTTCGCCTTCTTTCACTTGCCATGATTTTTGATCTACAAAGCCTTGGCAATAACGCTGCTGCTGCATAAATGTAAGTTCCAGCTGTTTTTCAAAACACCCTTTTGTGTAAGTTGCGCCAGTCTAGCAGCAAGGTATTGCAAATGGTGCAACTAAATATTTATAATCTTTCTAAAAAAAAA